CCACTTCCCCTTCCTCATATACTTCTCTCTCCATTCATCTTTAATGGTTTTTCTTAATTCTCCTTCCTTTGCCTCAACTTTATCTTCCTCTCCTCTCCGTATCCTTCCTTCAAATCTCCCTCCCTCCCCTTCTCTTTCTTCCCTCCCCTAATCCTCATCTTCCTTCCCCCTGGTATTTGCCCCTCCATTTTTCTATCTTCCCCTTTCTCCCCCATCTCCATTTCCCCCAGCGGCTCCGGCTTGCTCTTCCTCCACCCCTCCCTCCCCCCCCTTCGCCCCTTCCCACCCCTCTCCCTCCCTCCCTCCCTCCACCCCCTTCCTGCCTTCGCCCCTCCCTCCCCTCCTTCCCTCCTCCTCCCTCCTTCCGCCCCTCCACCCCCCCTTCGCCCCTCCTGCGCCCTCCCTCTTCACCCCCTTCCCTCCCCTCCCTCCTCTCCACCCTCCCTCCCCCCCCCCGCCTCCACCCCCCCGAGAGACGGGCCGAGGGCATTTTCTAGTCATGATATATGCATGAGCGGGCCAATTAAGAGTCTTTCATGTGTCCTCCACCCTCCCTCCCGCCCTCTGCCGTTCCTCTCTCTCTCCTCTCTCTACTTCGTCTTTTTATCTCCGCTCTCTCTCTCTCCTCTTCTCTTCTCTCTCTCTTCTCTCTCGTTCTCTCTCTCCTCCTCTCTCTCTCTCCTCTGCGTCATCTCTCTGTCTCTCTCTCTCTCTCTCTCTCTCTCTCTCTCTCTCTCTCTCTCCCTCTCTTCTCTACTTTTCCTCCTCGCTCTCTCTCTCTCTCTCTCCTCTTCCCTCCCTCTTTTCTCTCGTTCCGATCTCGCTCTTGCTCTTAGCTCTCTCTCTCTTTCTTATCTCCTTCATCGCCCCTCCCCGACCTCTCATCTCTCTCTCTCTCTTCCTCTCTCTCTCTCACCCCCATCTCTCTCTCACTCCCCCCTCACTCTCTCCGTCTCTTTCTCTCTCATTCAGTGCCCGCAACCAACAAGCAATGCCTTCCATCATCACCAACCTCCTCTGCTTCCTTTCATCACCCCATCACCATCACCACCTGGACACCATCTCTTCCTCGTCATCACCATAGTCTCTTCCCCTTCATCACCATAGTCTCTTCCATTCCCTTGCCACCACTACCAACAATTCCTCCTTCCTTTCCATCGCTGATCATCTTTCTTCCTCTCCTTCGCTACTATCGCCTCCTTTTCCTTCTCATTCTCCTTCTCTTCCTTTCACCATTCCCCCTAATCTCTCTAATTCTCTTTCTACTCTTCCTCCTCCCAATTCTCCTACTCGTCTTCCTCTTCCTCCTTCTCCTCACCTCCTCCTCCATCTCCACCTTCACTCTTCTTCTTCCCCTCCTCTCTTCCTCTTCTTCCCTTTCTCCCTCCCCTCCAATCCCTCCTTCTCCTTATTCTCTGCTTCCTTCCTCCCTCCTCCTCTTCCTCTTATTCTCTCTTCTTCCTTCCCCTTCCTCTCCTCCCTCTTCCCTTCCTTACCTACCACCACCACCTCCATCGCAATCCCCACCACCACCCTTTCCTCCCCTCCCTCCTCCCTCTCCTCACCACCCCGAGGCTCCAGGCACGCCCACGCCCACATCAGCTGTCGGGGAAGAGTGGTCAGTGCTCCACCTCACTCCCCCCACCTGCCTCCACCTCTCTCCACCCACCTGCCTCGCTCCTTCGCCCCCCCCCCTCCGCTGGGGGACACTCCACTCCGTCTCGTGTCGATAAGGCAAGGCGGGTGCTCTCTCTGCGTTTGGGGTGTCCGGCGTCCGGGCGTGGTGTCGTGTGGGAGGTGTGTGGGGGGAGGTGCGTGTGTGTGCGGGGGGGGGGGGGTGCGGGCGTGTGTGTGGTGTTGGGGGGGGGTGGCGTGTGTGCTGTGTGTTGTGTGGTGTGTGTGTGTGTGTGTGTGTGTGTGTGTGGGTTGTGTGTGTGTGTGATGTGTGTGTGTGTGTGTGTGTGTGTGTGTGTGTGTGTGTGTGCGCCGCATGCGTTTTGCTAGTGTGAGCCTGACTTGCCTGAGAGAAAGAGACGGATAGATAGATAGATATGATAGATAGATAGAGAGAGAGAGAGAGAGAAGAGAGAGGGAGGGAGAGAGAGCGATGAGAAATGTGTGTTTGCTTTTGCATTCTGTCGCTTTGTCCTTTTTATTGAACGATTTCCGTGTGTACGTTCTTTTCTTCTTCTCTCCTGCTCTCTTCTTATTTCTCTTCGAATGTTTACTCCTCTTCTTTCTCCGCCCCTTCTCTCTTTCATTCTCTTTTCTGTCCTTTATCGTTTACCTTTTCACCCTTTTCCTCTTTCTCCCTACTTTCTATCGATCAATCTCCTTTCCTTGTCCTCCTCCGTTCTTCCTCTCCTTCCTTCTTCCCCTTCCCTTCAACCTTCGTCTTCCTCATTTCTTTTCGTCTTTCCTTCCTTCCTATTCCCCTTCTTTCTTCTTCGGTCCCCCTTCCCCTAGCTCTTCTTAAACCAATCTCTCTTCATTCTTCCTCTTTCTTTCTCTTCTCCCCTACCCTTTCTTCCTTCCCCAATTTTTTCTTTCCTTCCACTATTTCCCTATTTCTTCTTTCCCTCTCCTCATTCCCTTCCCTTTTCCTCCTCTTCCCCCTTCCTAATTTCCACAAACCTGTTCCTTTTCCTCTCTTCCCTTCTTCCATTCCCCTCCAGTTCCCTCCCTCCCCTCCCCTTCTCCTCCCCTTCCCTCCTCTCCTCCCTCTTCCTCCCCCTTCCTCCCCTCCCTCCCTTCCTCCCCTCCCTTCCCCTCCTCCCATTCCCAATCACATTAACATGTTTTCGCGAGTGCCTTATGGTTGCCACGATTCACTCACCTGTGGCCACCCCCCACCCACCCCACCCCCCACGCTCCCAACCCCCTGTCATCTCTGTGTCCTCGTGGAGAACAGCTCCCTTTCTCCGCCCCCCACTCCCCCCACCCCCTTCCCTCCCACCCCCCTCTCCTCCTTTATCCGCATACCCACCTTTGCCTCCAACATCCACTCCACACCCGCCCATTCGCCCTCACAAGCTTGACTTCATATCCAGTCTTTGTTTTCATTTGCTAAGGTATTTTCCTCTAGACACACGTCACTTCACTTCCCCAGATCCCTTCCACACTTCGGTTCCACGCCCGATATTCCTATGTTGTCCACTTCATCTCCAATATTTTCTTCTGCACATCCTATTTCATGTTTATCATCTCTTGTACACCACCCCATCATCTCCAATACTTCACCTCATCATCTCTTTCATACATCTTGCTTTATCTCAAACATTTCTTCTACCACAATCCCACATCATCTCCAACATTGCTCCCCTCTTCACCTCCAAAATCTCTTGCAAACATCCCACTTCATCTCCAACACTTCCTTCCATCTCACCTCCAAAATCTCTTTCAAACATTATTTTTCTTCTCCTCTCTTTCATACATCCCACTTCTTCTCCAACATTTCTTCCACAAATCCCACTTCATCTTCAACATCTCCACTTCACTTCCTACATATCTCCTTCACACCCAGTCTTACCTCCCGCTTCTTTCTCTTCCAATTCCACCCTCACCCCCACACCACCTCACCCCCCTCACACCCTCACCTCCTTACCTACAGGCTACTCCACCCCCACACACTCGCTCCCACCCACCTCCCCAACCTTCACATTCCCGGCCCCACCCACTCCACCCCTTCCACGCCCACCACCCCACTCCACTCACTCACCCCCACACAATTATTCCACCCTCAGCTCTCCACACCCTCCTCCACGCCCACGCAAGAAACCCGCTCCCTTCGCCCACGTCCCCATATACACACTCTCGAACCCCCTTCCAACACGCCCGCACGCCCACGCTGGAAGACAACGAGTGACGAGAAGAAAGGACGTTGGACAAGCAAGGGAATTGCCTTTTGCTTTTATATTTAGTGTGACGTTCGTGTGAATGGGAGGGACAAAGGGGTGGGGGAGGGGGATGGGAGGGTGTGTGTGTGCTTTGTTTTGACAGCTGTCGGTTTTTCGCTTTTTTTTTTTTTTTTGTCTTTCTCTCTCTCTCTCTCTCTCTCTCTCTCTCTCTCTCTCGAAGAGAGAGAGCTCTCGAAGAGAGGAGAGATCGAGGAGAGATCAGAGAGGGAGAGGTTTTTCTCAGTCTTAAGAAGAAGATAAGAGAGGAGAGAAAGGAGAGAGATGGAGGAAGGCACAGAGAGAGACAGAGAGAGAGATCGAGAGAGATGGAGAGATGTGAGAGAGGGAAGAGAGAGAAAGAGAGAGAGATAGAGAATAGAGAGAGAGAAGAGAGAGAGAGAGGAGAGACAGAGACGAGAGAGACCGAGGACAGACACAGAGAGAGAGAGAAAGAAGAAGAAAGAGAAAGAGAAGAGAGAGAGAGAGAGAATGAATTATACCGTTACCTTGACTAATCCTTGGCCACCGCAGACGTCACACTTAGCTAAGAATATGCCATACACGATGCAAGTTACTCAACGTCTTATGTCAGCACCCACCCATCTTCCCTCCCCCCCCTCCCCCCCACTACCCCACTACCACCCCCTCCCACTATCCCCTCCCCCCCACCCGACCTTCCCAGAGGTCCGCGTGCCTCGGCTTGACTCATACCTGGACACCTGCTGCCCCACTTGCCTACGTGTGTGTGTGTGCGTGCACGTGTGTGTGTGTGTGTGTGTGTGTGTGAACGGAGAGAGTGAGGAGAGAGAGGGAGAGAGAGAGAGAGAGAGAGAGGTGAGATGTGAGAGAGAGAGAGAGGAGAGAGAGAGAGAGAAAGAAAGAGAGAGAGAGAGAGAGGTGTATGTGGTGTGTGTGTTTGTGTTTGTATGTTGTTCTTATTGTTGTTGGAACATCATGTCTGTATTTATACATATTCTATGCTTTAAATGTACGTATACCCACATTAAAGAATACAAGAATTATCCGCATCTCGTGTTCATTACCCACATTCCACGTACCACAATCCACGTACCCACATCCACGTACCCACAATCCGTACCCCTCATGTGTACCCACATCCACGTACCCACATCCACTTCCACACATTCCACATACCCCACATCCCACCCACATCCACGTACCACACATCCACATTGTACCACATCCACTTACCCAATCCACATTACCCACATCCTTGTACCCATATCCTTGTACCCACCCACATCCACGTACCCACATACCCCAACTACCCACCATCCACGTATCCACATGTACCCACATCCACGTACCCACACGTCTTCCCACGTACCACATCCACGTACCCACATCCCACGTCCCACTCCACTACCCACACCACGTACCCACAATCCACGTACCCACATCCACGTACCACATACCCATCCACGTACCCACATCACACGTACCCAACACATCCACATACCCACATCCACGTACCCACATCCACGTACCCACATCCACATCCACGTACCCACATCCACGATTCCACATACCACATCCACGTACCCACATACCCACATACCCCACATCCACACCCACATCCACATAACATCCACGTACCCGTACCACATCCACATCCACATCCATATCACGTACCCACAATCCACAACCCACATACCCAATACCAACATACCACAATCCACGTACCCACCATCCACATACCCACATCCACGTTACCCACATCCACATTCCAGTACCCACATCCACGTACCCACATTCCAACATGTACCACATCCACACCACATCCACGTTACCCCACATCCACGTACATCCACATACCCAAATCCACGTACCCACATCCACAACCACATACCCACATCCACGTACCCACATCCACATACCCACATCCACGTACCCACATCCACATCCACATACCCGTATCCACATACCCACATCCACGTACCCACATCCACGTACCCACATCCACATTCACATACCCACATCCACGTACCCAGATCCACATCCACATACCCCACATCCACGTACCCAATCCACATACCCATCCAACATACCCACATCCACGTACCCACCATCCACGTACCCACCCACTACCCACATCCACATCCACATACCCACATCCACGTACCACATCCACATCCACATACCCACATCCACGTACCCACATTCACACGTACCCACATCCACGTACCCACATCCACATACCCACATCCACGTACCCACATCCACATACCCACATCCACGTACCCACATCCACGTACCCACATCCCACACCCACACATACCCACATCCATACCCACATACCCTCCCACATCCACGTACCCGTCCACGTCCACATCCCCACATCACGTCACGACCCACCCACATCATCCACGTACCCACATCCATCCACATACCCACATCCCCCACGCCACATCCACCCAACAACCACCCTCCACATACCCACATCCACATACCCACATCCACGTACCCACATGCACGACGGACATGGCGACAAAGGACCCCCAAACCTCGGCTTTCACTCATCCGGCATTCGACTCAGCGTACGAACCTAAGCATTACAGCATCACAAGAAACACTTACACGCTTCTGCTGCATCGACCCTCACTCTCTCTTGTCCCCTCCCCTCCCCCCCCCCTTTCATCCTTCCCCTTGGGTATACATCTTCTTCCCTTCTCTCTCTCTCTTCCCTTAGGTACTCCACTCACCTACCCTCTCCCCCTTCTCCCTCCTTTCCTACCTACTACACCTTCACCTCCCCCTTTCTCCCCTTCCCCTATAGGTAGCTATACACCTGCGCAGTGTGCTCTCATCGATCTCCCAATTCTTCACTTCTCTACTCCTACGCATCTTTAATGTCAGGTAGGGCATGTCGGTGGTACGTCCGTCCTGCAACCTTCTGATTCATACGCGCCTGACCCTCTCGTCCCCTACACATTTGCTCTCCACTGATTATTTTCCTTTACCTTTACCACTTGCTTCCCCCTATTCTTGCTCTCTCCCTATCTCCTTCAGTACGCTGCCTATCAAGCTGCCCTCTCGTCTTTCTCTCACCATCCAACGCAAAATCCGTCCTTTTCCCTTCTGATCGTGTTTGTGACTACACTCCGTTTATCCTCCTAAGCCTCTCGCAATTGCTCTCCTGTCACCTATATCTCCCTCTCATGTATTTTATCTTTTACTACTCCTAATGATTCTTTCCTCTCCATCTTTTTCGCTCTGCCTACCTGCCTTACTGAGCCCTCCCTCCCCTCACGGGTTATGCTACATCCTCTTTCCACCCTCCATCCCCCCCCTCTTTGCCCCTTTATCTATATATTTCGTGCATCCCTCTCTCTCCTACCAAATCTGTTGCGATAAGCCTTGCTTTCGGAAGACCCGAGTTACCTAAATTGGCTAGTTCTCCCCTATCATAGTCCTACTGGTATACCTTCCTTACACACTTAAGAATCACCACTTTTTGCTGTGTATTTTATTTTTTTTCTCTCACTATTATGTTTGGTGAAGGAAAAAAATCGGTTTGCATTGTTTGTGTTGGCTGATATCGCGGTCGTATAAATTCATCCACACTATATTCATCACAAGGGTGGTGATGCTATGTAATGTACTTCTCCCCACGCTGCTTGAGAGTGACGTCGTATACTGTAAGTTAAGGTGTCATCACTCATCACTGCTCATCATAGCACAGCATCCTCGCGTGTGTAACACGTGACTCCCGCACCCATATAATAACTATTTCTTTCGCCGAGTCATCACCAAACTGACCTCATCCTTAATCGTCAGAAATTATATATCGGCACTATACTTTCAAAAAAGAGAAAGAGTGAGAGAGGAGGAAGAGGGACAGAGACGAGAGGAGAGAGATGAAGAGGAGAGAGAGAACGGAGCAGAGAGACGAGAGAGAATGATGACGAGAGAGAGAGAGAGAGAGAGAGAGAGAGAGAGAGAAATAAATAGATAGATAGATAGATAAATAGATAGATAGATAGATAGATAGATAGATAGATAGAATAGATAGAGAGAGAGAGAAGAGAGAGAGAGAGAGGAAGAGAGAGAGAGAGAAAGAGACAGATAGATACGATAGAGAGAGATGGAGAGGAGAGACGAGTCCTTACCCCCCCCCCCACCACCCACCACTCTCTCATCACCATAATCTTGAAGCATCATCACGACATCACAGGCGCCCAGGCATTCATTGGGCCTGCTTAAAGATCCCAGGGCTACTTTCCTTCTCCCTCTCCCTCTACCCTCCCTTACTTTCTCCTCCCTTCCTCCTCCTCCTCTGCTATGTCTCCATATTACTACCTCTCCCCATCACTTACTTCTCCATTCCTTTCCTCTTCCCTTTTCTTATTCTTATCCATTTTCTCGTCCACCCTTTCTCCTTGTGACCGCATCCCGACCCATTCCCCTCTCTCTCCTCCCTCTCTCTCTTCCTCTCTCCTCTTCTCCGCTCCTCCCCTCACTTCCCTGCAGGCCATACGCACTCCCCCTCCCTCTCCATCTGTCCTTTCTCATCCCTCAACCCTCTCCGCTCCCTTCTCTCCCTCTTTCCTCCCTCTTCCCCTCCCTCCCCCAAGCCATAACCATTCCCCCTTCCCTTCTCCATCTAATCACTTTTACCTCTATCCCCATCCCCTCTTCTCCTCTCCTCTTCTTTCCCTTACCTACCAATCCGCCCCACCATCTCTCCATCCCTCCACCTCTCATTCCCTCTCTCCTTCACTTCTATCCATTCCTCCATGCCACCATCCCTCCTCTCCCTTTCGCCTCCCCTCCAACCCACCCACCATCACCCTTCCCGTCCACTCTCCCTCTCTGCTTCTCCTTCCCTTTCTCTTCCTTCTTTCCTCTAGTCCCCACCTTCTCCCCCTCCCTTTCTCCCCTCTTCCTTTCTCCTCGCCTCCTCAACCACCCCCCCCTTTCCCCTCCCCCTCCACCACCCTCCCTCTTCCCATTTCTCCTTCCTCCTTCTCCCCCCTCCCCCCCACCACCCTCCCTCTCCCTTTCTCCTTCCCTCCCAACATCCCTTCCCCTTCTCCCTTTCTCCCCCCCCACCACTCTCCCTCTCCCTTTTTCTCCTTCCCTCCTCTCCCCCTTCCCTTCTCCTTCCCTCCTCTCCCCCTCCCTCTCCCTTCCCTCCCCCTTCCCCTCCCCTTTTCTCCTTCCCTCTCAAACCATCCCTTCCCCTTCCCCCCTTCCCTCTCCCCCCTCCGCCACCCTCCCCCCCTCCCCCTCCCCTCTCTCCCCCTCCCTCCCTCTCCCTCCCCTCCCTCCTCTCCCTCCCCTCCCAGGTGCTCCGTCTTCAGGTCTCATTTTACACAGGTGAAAAGTCTCTCCTTATAAGGCGAGGCGGGAGGACGTCCGGGCCCCTGATGGGTGGGAAGGAAGCTGGGAAGCTGGGGGATCCTGGGAGAGGATGGGGAGGATGGGGATGAGGGAGGATGGGGATGAGGATGGGGAGGATGGGGATGAGGATGGGGAGGGATGGTGATGATGAGGGATGAAGCTGAAAAGATCCCGGGGAGGGATTAGGAGGAGGATGGTGGTGGATGTAGATGAGAATGGTGGTGATGGTGATGATGGTGGAGGATGGTGATGATCGTAATGGAGGATGGTGGTGATGTGATGTGGTGATGACGGTGAGATGGTGATGATAGGATGGGATAGTTGGTGATGAGGATGAGGATGGTGGTTGATGATGATAATGGTTGACGGTTTGACGACGGTGATTGAGGATCGTGATGGGACTGACATGTGATGGTGATGACGGTAGAGATGGTAGATGATGATGGGGATGATGAGGATGGTGATTGATGGGGATGATGGTGATGAGCATGGGAAAAGATAGTGATGGTGATGAGGATCGTGATGGTAGAGATGGCATGGGGAAGGTGATGAGGATGGTGAGGATGGTGATGTGATGGTAAGGATGGGATGATGATGGTGATGGTGGTGGTGGTGAGAAGGATCGTGATGACGGTGGAGATAGTGATGGGCCTGGGGAAGATGGTGATGATGGTGATAAGGATCGTGGTGATTCTGGGGATGGTGATGATAATGGTGATGATGATGATAGTGATGGTGATGAGCATGGGGATGATGATGCTGGCAGTGGGGTTGCTGTGGTGGTGATGAAGTTCGTGATGGTAACAGGGATGCTGTGGGTGGTGATGGTGATGATAGGAATGGGGATCATGAAGTTGTGGTGATGATGATGATTTTGATGGTGATATTCTGATTATGATGGTGATGGAAATGAGAAAGCTGTAGTGACAATGATGATTTTGATGGTGATGGCTATGCCGGTGGTGATGGTGTAATGAATATAATGATAAAATAGTGATGATAATTGTGGAGTTCCAGTGATAATAGTGATGCTGATTTAATACTGATGTTCTGGTAACACTGATGTTGATGGTGATGTTATAGTGGCTTTGAAGATGGTGATGTTGACGCTGATGCTAATATGGTGATGTCTATCGTGATGTAATAGTGACGTATGTGATGATCTCTCTCCTACGATGTTGTGGTGATGCTGTGGTTAGTCGTTTGTCATTAAGAATAATTTGATGTTTGTAATGATGAATATTTGCCGGTTTGTTAGAATTGTGGGAGTCACGACCCAGAGAATATTCTGATGATTATAATGAAAATAATAACGACAGGGATGATGCTGAGGAGGATAAGAATAATAATGAAAATGCTGCTGCTGATGATGATAATTATCTTAATGACAGTAATAGGACTTGTAATGCTGATAATGACGGTATGATCATCATTGTTAAGATAAAAATAGCAATGGTGATATCAATGATTATAATTACTATGATAATATTATGATAATTATAATTATTAAAATATTCTTGACATGCATAAATAAAGAAATAAAAGCATAGTTACCAGTCTAGACATGCATAGCAACCCGGCAAATAGATATCTATCTATCTATCAGATAAATAGACAGATATGCCTTTATTTCTGCGTCTGTTGTTATGAAAATTAATTGGGTCGGGCCTGGAACAGTTATAACAAACCGGCCGTATGTTATTTAAAGTACGTAGTTAATCTGGAATATATGGTGAAGCTATGAAAAAGATGGTGAAAGAGTGTGGAACTAATGATGAAGGTGATGGTGACATGCTAGTTCATCATAGATATAGTGAAATTTGGGACGGTATAGTGAAGTCCGTTGTATGGTGGTGTTATACGTGGTGAGATGGTGAAAATTGGAACAAGAATTTAAATGTTCAGGTATAGTGAAAGAAGTATTCAATTGGTTATGGTTAGCTTAGGCCAAAAGTGAAAGTAGATTTTATGGAACAAGAATTTAAATGTTCAGGTATAGTGAAAGAAGTATTCAATGGACTATGTTGTAGCTTAGGCCAGAAATGGTGAAGTAGATTTTATGGTATTGAGATTGAAAACGTTGTAGTGGACTTATAGTGATATGGGAATGGTGAAACAAGGAAAGTTATTGTGAGCGATTTTTATGTTGATTCACCATTTTGGTTAGTCAGAATTCATATAAGGATAATAACAAAATAATTAAACTACAGCAACAGTAGTAGCCAAAAAATAACAGTTATAATAATTTTGATCGTGATGATAATGATAATAATGATGATTATGATACTGAGGATGAAGATGAGGATGATCATGATAATAATGATACTGATCATGATGATAATACAAATAATAATGATAATTTAAAGCAGAAAAATGATGACGAAAGAAATGAAATCATATAAAGAAAAATAAACAGAAATATATTGAAAAAAAAAAAAAAAATAACCGAATTTCGTCGACCAATCGCCATCCTTGCATCTTCCTCGACCTTTGACCTCGTCTCAATG